TATATATATATATATATATATCTGACAAGGGAAGAACAGGTATCAAAAGTAGAAAGTAAAAATGTGGTCTCACTTTCAGGTGACATGTTAACAGGTAAAATTATCCCTGGAAGTGTAAATGAACAAGTTTGAGTGATTTGCTGAACATGAAGGAGGACAGGCCAGATTCAGCCCACCCAGCCATTAATCCAGCCCATAGCTCACCCTGCCCCACCACTCCACACATGCTAATCAGACCTGGAGGGCGGGAAAGCACGTGACATTTCCTCCCCCACCAGGGCGTGCAGCGCCAGAGGAAACACCAGCTGTTCAAAACAGCTGATGGTTTCTTTTAGGTGCTGTGCACCCCAGCTGGTTGGGGACAGTAGACATTGTTCAATCCCACAACCCATTAAGGAGCATACACAGCCTTCCTCCCCTCACCTGCAGGCAGTGCCTAAAGTACCTCTTCCACCCAAGGCCCATTTCTTCCATCTAAGGCCCCGCCCCCTGGACCTGGCCTGCAGCCACTACCAACAATGGTGAAGTGGTACTCCTACAAAAATTACTGCCCACCACTGGAGTAGCTCTACATTAGTTTATTTTTGAATGCAGTTTTTTTGTACATTATTCTAATTTCATGATAAATTCAACTTTCATGATCAAGAGATTGCACTACAACACTTAATGGGAACTGAATAAATATTTTTTTTAACAGAGCAAAATCATGTAATAAAAATAAAGTGAGCACTTTTCTATTCTATTTTGTAACAGAAGTCATATTTGCAAACGTGCAGAAAGTAGCAAACATGCCAACTAAACAAATGGCCTTACCCGTCACTAACACCCAACGTTTAATCGCTTGACAGCGCTAATTGTACTGGCTCCCTTAGGCCTTTCACGCAACCTGCTGCAAAACCAGCCCAATAGCGAGATGGGCTGATGCACCTCCTGGGACATCGCTGAGCAACCCCGGGGCGCGCGTTCTGAACCCTGAAGCCCGGCCCGCGGCCTCGGGGACAGCGCCGGCCTGCAGGAGCGGGAGCGCCCCGGCCCCTGACAGCCCCCCGGCGAGGGATCAGCTCTAGACACCCCGCGGGCAGCTCCCCCCGCCACCCACTCCCATGGCTCCTCCGCCCCCAACCCGGCAGCAGCTGAGACGTCGCTCTCCGACTCCAACTCAGTTGAACTACGTGGAGCTTCCGGCCCTACAGGTCTCGCGAGATAAAGGATAAAAGCGAGAACGCCGTACACAAGCGCTTCCGCATCTGAAACATCGCGAGGACGAGACTTCCTGTCCCCACGGTTCAGGACCAACGGAGACCAAAGTAGGCCACGGCACCAGCTTCCCTCGGAGGTGCTGTCATCAAGCCTTAGGAGCGGGGCCTGCCTGATTGAATTGCAGTCCATATGTGCCGTAATGCATCCTGGGACACGTAGTCATTGCACAGCGAAGTGAGACCAGCGGCCGTGGGCAGGTGCGCCGCGGCGCATGCTGGGAATTGTAGTTTCTATGCGGGGGTCTCCAAAGCGTCCCTTCTTCATCCCAGTTACAGAAGCGGGGGCATCGAGCCGCCGGCAGGGGACTGTTCACTTCGTGGCCGTGACCCCCGCCCAAGCGCAGAGCCTCGCACTGATGCTCCCCGCAGTTCTCTGGACATTAGCCTAGGGCAAGATGAGGGGCAAAGGGCCATTGGGTCAGACCAAAGGTCCATCTAGCCAAGCATCCGGTCTGCCAGCAGTGGCCAATAATGCCAGGTGCTCCAGAATATAATAGAGAGGCAGCCCTGTTAATCTGATCTTGCAAAAACAAAAGGAAAAACTATGCAGCACTTTAAAGACTAACAAGATGGTTTAATAGGTGATGAGCTTTTGTGGGCCAGATCCACTTCCTCAGATCATATTCTGGAAGAGAATTGGCATGACCATATATACCAAAGGAATACAATGAAAAAGCAAACACATTATTAAACTGACATCAGATTTAGTACAGAAGGTGGGGTGAGGAAGAGGGACGGAGGGAATAGCTATTATGAATCAATGTTAACTCTGGAGACACAGATCCACAGTTTAAGAACTGCAAAACTAAGCATCTCTGATGGTATCTTCTGGACTGAGCACTGAGTCTTATTGGGTACACTGAAAGATTAACCTAAATAATCTATACAGAACCTTCTGGAATCCCATAAGATTGGGTCCATAATCCATGAACTATTGGAATTCATTTACAAAACTTTTCTTAAACACTAGGGCTGTGTCTACACTGGCGCGATCTTGTGCAAAAGCGGCCGCTCTTGCGCAAAAACTTTCTGCCTGTTTACACTGGCCGTGTATTCTTGCGCAAGTAAACTGACGGTCTAATGCATGAAATCAGGGCTTCTTGCCCCAGAACTCTGATGTTCCCACTCAGGAATAAGCCCTTTTGCGCAACTGTTCTTGCGCAAGAGGCCAGTGTAGATAGGCAACATGAATTTCTTGCGCAAGAAAGCCCTATGGTTAAAATGGCCATCAGAACTTTCTTGCATCTCTTGCGCAAAAGCACATACCAGTGTAGATGCTCTCTTCTGGAAGAGTTTTTGCAGAAGAACTCTTCCGCAAAAGAGTTTTTGTGCAAGATCATGCCAGTGTAGACGTAGCCTACATTAATATATTGTTTCATTGTATAAAATTAGAATTTATAATCCCTATTCCATGTTGATATATCTTTGAGCTATAATGTAAATGAAACTATCTTTAGATACATTTTTCCTCAAAAAAAATTGTCAAAAAATCTGATTAAATAAAAATATCTGATTTCTTCTTTTTTTTAATTTGTTGATTTTTATCTACCCTGCTTCTTAGTCACTTGTCACTTTGGTTGTCTTGGTAACTTTCCACTGCTCCAAACCCCCAGCCTCCTGGTTTCCCAACTCTCATACCCTTCTTACTCTAACCATTTTGATCAGTTGTCAAGCTGTAACAATGACTCATCATTGTTCTTGGTATTGCAGAGATTTGACAACCCCATCAGCTCATAGAGGGTACACAGAAGGATATTGCCAATACAGCAGTTTTCATAGTAGTATAATGTCAAATAGAATTAATAAGTTATGCATATGTTTCTCGAATACATCAGAAACTAGAAGGACAATAAAAACCCAGGCCAATTCACAATTCAGGAGAGCTGATATATAGTATTGTAAACCTTGAAATGCTTATAAGTCATGAGAGCAGGAGAAACTGAAGAAAGAGCTAACCAAAAACATCAGTGTTGGAGAAAGAAGTGGAAGAGTGTTCTAAGGAGCATATGAGCATACACGAGATTTGTTTTTATCTTTGGGGAACTTAAGATCTTGCACAGAGAGGGAAGAAGACTTAAATAGTGAGTCGGAAGCAGCTGGTGGTTGTTGGATTGCCCATCCTCCTACTCTCCCCTAACCTCGGAGTTTCCACCACACTCAACTTATGTAGTCATATTTCCCATAATTGGAGATATGGTAGGAGTCACCACAACTGGAGTGCAATAGCCTCACAAAGGGAAAACTACCTTATAGCCATAATATCTCCCCTGCCAGATGAGTGAGTGTAGGATTCCATGGAATACAATATGATGGGGACTAATCTGGCTACAACTACTCAAGAGAGAGATCTTGGAATCATTAATAGTCAAAACTGCAAATAGAATGTTAGGAATCATAAAACCAGGGATAGAGAATGAGACAGAGAACATCTTATTGCCTCCATATAAAATCATGGTACTCATATCTTGAATACTGCATACAGATGTGGTCGCCTCAGCTCAAAAAATATATTGGAAAAGGTTCAGAAAAGGGCAACACAAATGATTAGAGGCTTGGAACATGTCCCATTTGAAAAGAGATTAAAAAGACTTGGACTTTTCAGCTTAGAAAAAAGGAGACTAAGGGTACATCTACACTGTAACACTATTTCGAAATAACCAGCTCTGTTACTAAATAACTTAGTCCGCATCTACACAGCAGGCAGTTATTTCGAAATAATGTCAAAATACTGTTAAGCTGGAGGACTTCTTACTCTGATTTCTGCAACCCTCATTGTACGAGGAGTAAGGGAAGTCGGAGAAAGAGTGCACTATTTCCAAATAAATGCTGTGAGGACTTTCCCTATTTCAAAATAAGCTATTTTGAAATAAGATACGCAATTGATGTAACTCAACATGCATAGCTTATTTCAAGTTTAGCCATGCAGTGTTGATACACTCCAAGAGGGGATATGATAGAAGTCTATAAAATCATGACTGCTGTGGAAAAAGTGAATAAGGAAAAGGTACTTATTCCCACAATATAAGAACTAGGGGGTCACCAAATAAAATTAATAGGCAGCAGGTTTAAAACAAACAAAAGGAACTTTTTCTTCACTCAGCACACAGTCAACTTGTGGAATTCCTTGCCAGAGGATGTGGTGAAGGCCAGGACTTTAACAGGGTTCAAAAAAGAGCTTAATAGATTCATGGAGGTTAGGTCCATCAATCGCTATTAGCCAGGATGGGTAGGAATGATGTCCCTAGTCTCTGTTTGCCTGGAAATGGGTAACAGGAGAAGGCTCATGTGCAGATTATCTGTTGTGTTCTCTCCCTCTGGGGTATGTGGCATTGGCCACTACTGGCTGACAGGAAACTGGGCTAGATGGACCTTTAGTCTGACCCAGTATGGCCATTCTTATGTTCTTATATTTTTGTGTTCTTAATACTTCTGGGGGAATGTTGAATAAAAAACTAAACATTCTGCACCCAATATTTTAAAGTTCTGCATATTTTATTTGTTCAAATGATACAATATAATCATGTCAGATTCAATTATTTTGGTAATTATTTCAAAATACCTATGAGCAAGTATGTCTAGCAATATAGAGAACAAAAAAATCCAGGAAATATTCGTCAAATTACTTACTAGGAATATTAATACAGAACTTTGAGTAATAATTAATTTAAATTACAAAATAGACATGTATTTTCTGCACTCCTCAGAAGCCAGTGCAAAGACTTGGGGGAACAGGAGGAACAGAGAAGCTGAGAGAGATGGAAGTAGTGGAAAGGAGTCTGAGTGTGAACTTGGAGGGCAGTTGGATGTAGGAGGGAGAAGTATGGTACTTTGGGGGATAGGAAGAGATTATTAGGGAGTTAGGGAGCCTCCCCCCATGCAGACCCCTACCCTTCCCCATTTATACAGGAACCTGTTGCTGTGTGTCCCTGCATCACCATCCCTCACCATATTTCCCTGCACTCTGACTACAATTCAGCTCCTGGCTTTATGCTGTCACTAACTCCTGTGCCCTTCCTGCAAAAAGTCCAGTGGTTCCTTTCCTGCTCTTATCCTGAGACATTCCTAGAAGTTTCTCTCCCTGTGGCCCCTAGATGGGGGAAATAGGGATTCTCTGACTACGTCTATACTGCAGCTTTCTTCTGCAAAAGCTTATGCAAATGAAGCGCAGATTAGAATATCGCCGTGCTTCATTTGCATAATTAATTAGCAGCCATTTTTGTGCAAGAGGCTTTTGTGCAAAAAGGAGCAGTGTAGATGGCTCCTTTTTGTGCAAAACCCCCCTCTTGCGCAAGAGCCGTTTTTCCTCATTTGTTCAGGAAATGAGAAAAGAAAGTGTCAGTATAGATGTAGGCTGTGTCTACACTGCACCCCTGATTTTAAGAGGAATAAGGGATCTTTCGGAAAAGGCTTTATTTTCTGAAAGATCCCCGTCTAGACTGGCGCTTTTTTCCGGCAAAGCCCCGAGCTGGAAAAAAGCAGCAGCCATGTTTATACAAATGAAGCGGAGGATATTTAAATCCCCGCTTCATTTGCAATAACGATGTGTCTAATCTGCATCCCTTTTCCGGAAAAGGGGTGCAGTGTAGACACAGCTGTAGTGTCTATGTGCTGTCCCTAACTTCAGTGACTCTCCAGCTCCCATTGGCTGGGAACTGTGTCCAATGGGAGCTGCAGAGATAGTGCTTGTACACAGAGACTGCACATAGATCTACCACCACTACCCAAAGTAGGGTTGACCACTTCCAGGAGTGACATGGGGTTAGGGAAGGCACAGAGCCTGTCCTAGCCTTGCACTGCCACCAACTGGGATTTGGATCTGCTTGAGGTAAACATCACCCAGATTCCACAACTTGACACCCACACACATACTCCCTATCCCCATGCACCAGCCCTGAGGCCCCTCATTCACCCAAACTCACTCCCAGTGCCCATGCGCCTCACCCCCTCCTACAACCTAATCCTTTGCCTCAGACTAAGCCCAGAGCTCCCTCACATACTCCAAACCCTTTGGCTCCAGCCCAGAGCCTGCACTCCCTCCCACACCTCAACCCACTGCCCCCATTCCAGTGAAAGTGAGTGGGGGAGAGCGAGCAAGCGATGGAAGAAGGGGCATGGACTAAGCAGA